TTGATAAAGGTAGACAAATGTATGAGGAATCTTGTATTACATTTTCAAATCTTAGATTTAAATAGAACATTTTTTATGAATTCTTAACTTAAAATAATTTGCTAATTTTCTTGATTTTTCCATATTTTGTCAATTTTTGAACTTTAAATGATTATAAAAAAAAACTGTGACTAAGGATTTTTAATATTTTTCAAATGTAATTGTAACAATATAGTAGGAGCCTTCTTTTAAATTTGCAAGCTTTTTTAACCAACAAATAAAATTTATTGATATTTATAGGAAAAAAAACTAAAAAAAAGGGAAAATGAAAATTTTCCTAAACTGTTCAGAACAAATCATATTTCGAAAATTTTATCGTGTATAGAAAATGCTAATATAAACAACCAGTGAAAATTGCATGTATCTATATATATTCATTTGTTTTAGAATTACACCAAAAACCAAAATTGATTTTGTGGTACCTAAACCGATTTTGCATAAAAATTCCCGTTTTTCCTTAAATTTTATGTTGTTTTTCCCGGCGCTTGTGAAAACTATTGTGAATTTTAAAATTTTACCTCCCGAATGCACCAACTTAATTCACTATCCCGTCGAACAAGATATTGTTGAAGAAAATCGAAGCACTTTTACTGTCCTATAAGATGATGACAGACACAAAAATAAAAAAAAAAACACAAATCATTGTAAAATCAATACATTCGTCGTTCAACTCAGAATCTAAAATGTATAATTTATATTTTATAGGTATATCCAATTGTAATTTTTACTACCTTTATACCTACCTACATTAGTTGACTTCAAATTAATGTTTAACTATTTTCGAAGTGCTCTGTCCGTAAGAAATTCACCAATTTAGCTATAATATCTATAGGAAAATAAATTGCAGACCAACTTAAATATAATGATATTATTGACACATTTGCTAATTTAATACTTAGGAAAGTTTATTTATAATATATTAGATTCTGACCGGATCAAAAGAATGTACTAACGTATATTTGGGAAGTCAAAAATTGAGAATTCCTAGTAATTTTAGAAAGTGTAAAGAAAAACAAAGTAAGTGGTAATTTTAATGCAAAACTAATTTTTGAAAAAATCGATTTGATTTTTTTAGTGTAACTCAAAAACGAATGCCCGTAAAACCTGGAAATGTTCACCAAATATTTATATTAGCGCTTTCCTTTAAAGGTAGCATTTTCGAAATATTTTGACTCTTTTTGAGCTAATTATAGCCTTGAGACATTTTTCGATTTTTTTAAATTATTAAAAACTTTTTCACTTGGTATAAAAGCTTGACAATTTAATCCTAGGTTCCTTATAAATGTCATCAATGGAAATTAAAAAGTAATATATATGCTCAATTATTTTTTTATATGCATTTTAAGTTCAAATTTTCACAAAGTTCATCAAAATTTCGAAAATTTTCAAACTTTTTTCATTTAGAAACTCAGTTAACTGTCTTATGCCTTAGCCTTGGAGGGGGGCCAAGTCCCCCTTGGTTACGCCCATCGCCCATGGGTCTCACATCGTCAGTCTATTCACCGCGTCTGATTACATGATTATACCTACATTATTATGCCGAATGCCGATTGTCGGCTATATATAGCTATACTAGTATACTACGATAACTCGATAACTACCTAAACGTACAATTTAACTTACATATTCTGAGGATTTGTATGCTAACGAGTAAGGGGAGTAACCACAACACTTGAAGTCGAATATTCTTAATTATTTTTCTACTGTTACCCTAGTTGTTTGAAGAGGCGAGTTTGTAATTATTGTTAAAATATTGAATACATTTTATAGTCAAATACCTATAGTTGTCCTTGTTTAAATGGCAGTTAGGTATCAATAAAATGGTATACCTACCTACCTAAAAAAAAATGTCTGGCTCTAAAAACAATAATTTCACTTTTCAACGTTTTCATAAATTAAATAATATTTAAATATCATATAATAAGTATGATTTTACCTAGATATGTTAAACCGGTCGAAAAACACTTTCTAAAACTCATTTTTATTTATGCAAATATTATATTTTTATTTGTTCTTTGTGTCTTCAATTATTGGATTTATTTGCTAAAGTTCTTCATAAGCTTCACTATTGTTACTTAATTCCTTTAGTTCTTTGTAGCTATCTTTTCCTATGTCAATCATGATTTGTGTCATGTATTCCATCCTTGGCCTTCCACTTCCTAGTTCCTATATATAACTTTCTACGTCGCCTTCTACACCATTCTTCGTTAAACTATCATAATATCATATGGCGTAGTATGTGTCCTATAATTTTGTCTCTTCTAACATTTGTCTAACCACAATTCTCGTTTTTCCTTTACTCTAGTTAGTACTGTTTAATTTGTTACTCTTTCAGTTAATTTAATTATAAGCATTTTTCGATAACACCATATTTATTCGAAGGCCTCAATTTTGCTTTTCTCTAGACTTGACTTTACTGATTGTACAAGTTTCACACTCATTACTCATATAGGGCAATAATCCACAAGTATATTTTTAAGAGCTTTTTTCTTGTCTGTAAGGCCACACTATATTTCAGGTGATCAATAAATGTTTTTTATTCTAGAAAGTCTTCTTTGCTTGTGTTATTCTGCAGAAAATCAGCTTTACAAAGTGACAAGGTGTCCGTTTTTAGCACGTTTTATGTTCGATCATACAAAGTGACCTAGAACCGTTCCCGCGGCGTCGTCGGTTAAAACAGAAAAAAATGGTTTAGGTATAGTACATTTCTGTATTTATTGATAATTTTCACTTCAAAGTATTCAAAATATAATATAGTCTTTTATTTTTTGGGGTGTACATTTTTTAAATTTGGGCGTGCACTTATTCTCTGAGCAGAAACCTAGTTGCGCCAATGGGCCAGCTGACAGATAGTAATAAGAGTTATGACTATATGAGTATAGTATAAATGTATGTATATATATTATATTAATAAATAGATATAGTATTTTAATTTATCAAGTAAAAAGCCGATTGGCGTTTATATCTACGAAATAAAAGTATCCAATTAATAATTTATTCTTATAAATGATTTATACTTAATTCAATTTGACGTGCCCGCCTCATATTTTAGGCTGTCGGGCTCATCAACGTGTATTATTGTGTATAAATGTATAATTGTAAATATTATTTGTGCATCTTAAAATACTCATAACTCACTTAAAAATTAAAATATCAGAAAAATCCTATGAGATAGCCTAAATAATAATCTTACCTTTAAATTTTATAAGAGGTCACAATTCACTATAATTTTTAAACCAACAGAGCTACACGTGATCTGTTGAACGTAACATTTGCTATGTTATACGCACTTGTAAGAAAGAGACAACACATGCGGATACTACGTCTACTTAATTTACGTATTTGTAAATTGTATTATTATTTTAGGTGTTTATTAATATTAGTTATATAATATATTTTAAAATATCATTAAATTATTACACGTCCAAAAAACTAAGTGGTTTTGAATTTTTATTATTTTTAAACTGTTACTTTCTAATAGAACTGGACATAAACATATTATAATTTGATTAAGTTAGTGAGGATATCATATTTTATTTTATCCTAGTAGGGATTTTTTTCCAACACATAGTGAGTACTTACCTACCTTTGCTATATATAGAGCCCCTGAGCTGTGGCTCTATTACTCATCAGCTGTACCTGGTTGAAGAACATGATAATATGTATTCAATATTCATTTGTCTTCAAAAAATATTTACAATACGAAATATCTATTAAATTATACCTATTTAGATTCTACAGAAGTACATACAGTAGATACCTTCAGATTACACTCTATATATATACCTAGTATATTAACTAGGTAGGTATTTAAATAATTTAAAACTCAACTGTATTATGAACTATGAAGGTTACGCCACGTTAAAACAAATAATCTCCGTAACACAACAATCATAGAACATGACAAGTCAATACGTCATGCACTTTGGATGCCCAGTCCAATAGTTATTCCCGCAGTCCCGGGTCCCAAAGTCCAAAATGGTATTAGTGGCTAGTGCGAGTCACTGCAGTAGTGCAGTTTGCACTTCAACAAATATTATTATAGATCTATAAGTATTCGACTTGAGTCTTGATCACAGAATAACATTAATCTGTCTATGTGTCAACGACAGTCGGTATTAAAAGTAAAAAACAATCAGGCGGTTGGGTGGGTATAAATATTTTGTCTAATATTGTGAAATAATAAATACCAACTTGCTACCTATTACATAATATTATTTATAGACATAATATAACAATATATTATTATAATATCATGTTTAGTGTTTACAGACAGCTTATAGTTTTACACCATTACACCGAACAAAAACACAGAAGTACCTAGCAGGAAACAAATAAATAATTAATACCAATCCCGTAATCGTGATAATCGTATTCACTATTCGTAACGACTTACCGGCGGCCGATGCATCGCGTCCGATTGGTCGAGACGCCGAGTTGCACAAGTGTCTTACGTAGTTACCCGTATTAATAACGTGAGTCGTGACTAATATTATATTTTGTTTTCATCTTAGTTAGTCATCGTGTCATGAAATTTCGGGACAAGTACCCCCGTGCCGTAGTCGTACTATCGTACACGGTACACAGATAACACCACCGATAAGTGAAAATATCGCATCATAGCTTAACATCATCACTGTATATTTTTATATACTTTGGTAGTTTGGTGTGGCCGTGCACCTATCTGTCGTTACTCATTCTGCAATTCTGAAATCACTCTTTCGTTTTTTGTCCGTCAATCACGTACGTCCTTGACGCCTACTTGCCGGTACGATTCATTTTGTTTCCGTAAATTTTCAACGAAGCGCGTTTCTACTACTTTACCACCACTCGCCAATTTTTTAAACTTTGAACGGTATCTCGATCGCAGTTGTGTATAGCATACGATTAAAACCCTCCCCGTCAGCGATCCCTCATAATCGGATTCACATCGCCATCCCTTGCAACCCCGTCTAAACAAGATGAGTCTCCAGTGGACGATTATCGCGACGTTCCTGTACTTCGAAGTGGGCGTTCTGATGCTGTTCCTAGTGCCGTACATGTCGGCCAAACGCTGGAACCGTCTGTTCCGGTCCCGGTTCTATCAGGCGCTGAGCGCCCAGGCCCAGTGGTACTTCACGTTCTTGCTGTTCATTCTCGTCCTGTTCCTGTTGGACTCCGTTCGCGAAATGCGTAAATACTCCAACCCGGAGCTGAGTGACGCGCATCAACACTTGGACCACGAAATGCAGGCCAACATGCGACTGTTCCGTGCCCAGCGCAACTTCTACATTAGTGGCATCGCCTTGTTCCTCAGCTTTGTCATCAAACGTTTCATAGCCCTGGTCACCCTGCAAGCGTCGTTGGTGGCCCAAAGCGAGGCGTCGCTAAAACAGGCTCAGAGCGCCAGTGCCGCGGCCAAGTCTTTGTTAACACAAGACAAAGGGGACGGCGAGTCTGAAGCTCTGACTGAACTGAGAAAAGAACTGGAATTGATCAAGGCCGACCGCGATGCGATCAAAAGTCAAGCTGAATCTGTCTCCAAAGAATATGACAGGCTAATGACAGAACATGAAAAACTTCAGAAGACTGTTGGCAACGAATCAAAGAAGGATGATTAATCTTAATTTATTAAACTATTAGGCATAAGTCTTAAGTACTTTAAACATAATGCATTTCTGAATTTAAATTTCAAACTGTTTGTTCTTTTGTTGGGGTGTTTTTCTCTTTTTTTTTTATGACCTAGTAAACTAACATTACTACAATAGAATTATATATTGTACATCTCATAATTAATCAATGTTGGTATTTTAATTCATGTAAAAAATATTTAGAGACTTAATAAATTAATTATTTTGTTTATTTATTCTACTAAAAGATTTATTTTATGGATTAAAAATGGGTTTCCTTCACATATCGTCGCCATTGTCTTGTAAAAAGTGGATAAGTTAGTTTTGGAAGTTGGAGGTAAAATTAATTTAGTTTAACTTATAAATTATACCTAAAAATACAATTTTATCAAATGACAAATTATAATATTATAATATAGACTATTTAGTATTTACTATAAAGAAATTCGGAGTTAAATTGTAGGTATTTTAATAATATTTGTTATTTTCAATTAAACTTCTCCATTTTTGGTATGACGCCAACAATACGTTTACTTAAACATATTCTGGTTATGCTGGTAATCTAATTTAGAAACAGGCCACAAAATGTACTATTGCTTACTATGAAATTATATAAAACAAATAATAAATATAATAATGATGCATTTGCAGTGTTGCGTAGTAATATAATAAGTTACTCAATACTGTACATTGTTACTTTTTATGAGTGAGGTTAATTTCATTATTGATTTATTGAACAAAATTTAATGCAAGAGTAATTACATTAATTATATTTTATAAGAAACTTTGTTAAATAATGAAGTATATTTTTATCAATTCTGGAAAAATGAATACTTCTTAATCAAATTGTCTAAAACTAACAATGGTAAATTATACGTAAATGAGCTGAAATTTAGTGTTTTTAAAATTATCATTATTTAGGCAGTTTAAAAATATTAAATGGTTTACTAATGATAAAACTTATGTTTCTAAATTTCAATACATCGGTCCTCTCAAACATTTCTTTAGAATGCCTTTTAATAAGAATGAAGATAATTGCACCAAAATACAATCATGAATAAGTGAAAATAATTTTGAAGATACATTAATGTATAAAATAAATATTAAATATGGAAAAATTTTAGCGTGTGTAAAAAACTAGTTATAAATGTATCTTCATTTTGTATATTTAAAAATGTTTAAAATAAAATCATTGTAACTAGTTAATTTTAAATTAAAAAGTAAAGTAGTTACTTTTAGTTTTGTAGTAACATAACTTGGCTACTTTTTAAAAGTAACTTTCCTAGCACTGCATGTTTTCATATTTTAATAATAACTAGGTATCAATTTAATTTCCAATGATACAATATTAAGCTAATACATGAATAATAAGAAATTATATTAATAAAAACATGACTCACTAGAAACTCACAATCAACTTGTAACAGGATATAGTATTCTGTTATTGCATTAATTTTTAGATTTTCAAATATGCAATAACATTTCTAAATTTCTATTTAATAGAATTGTATTATGAACAAGTTACTTTATGATTATTATGCTACAGCCTACAGATTAGCATAAAAAAAATTAAAAGTAATTTTCTCATGGACATCATGGGAATTATGCAATTATACCTGATAACTTAAATTTGTTTATTAAAAAAAAATTGCATATAGAGTAAAAACTTAATACTAACCAAGTAACAAATAAGTAATAACAATAAATGTGTATAATGTAAGATAACCCTATCCTAATGATCCAAAGTAAATTCACAAGTAGTTCATACAAAATTATTAAGTAAAAAGAATCATACAAGAATAAACATATTTATCATATAAGTATAAAAATTAAAAATGTATCAAAAAATAAAATAATTATATATTTCAAATACTCAAACTAGCTATCGTTATAAAACATATAAAAATAATAGAAATTTAATTTATGGATCAACAATTTACATTAGTTTATAAATATTTTAAGATGAAACACTAGTGTCTAATGTCAAATTACCGTCCTTGTCTTTTTTTCTAATTCTACCATCAGGATATTTGGTTTCATGAGACCCATCTGGATAAACAATTTTTGTTGTACCATCAAGATACACTCTTTTCTATAAAATTTAAATACACCATTATTAATATTTATTAATTGCTAAATTTTTATTTTAACAGCAGTATAGGTTCTAAGTCAATATTATGATAATTAGAGATAACTTATATATTCTAAATCACTTAGTACTCACACTAAATAGTCATGTTAACTAATTTAAAAAATGAATGATGAACATACTTTGAATTCGCTGGTATGTATTTCTCGTTGGCCATTTAGTAACACCAATTCACGATGTCCATTTGGATCCACTGTCAAAACTGATCCATCCAAGTAATTCCAAATCTCCTTACGGTCTGGATACACTGTATGCTTTTTACCATCTACATATTCAATTTCCACTTTTCCGTCTTTGTAATGCTTTTCAGTTTGCCCACTACACAAGTAATATAAATATATAATATGTTAAAATAGAAAAGGACTAGTGGCACAACTAGCCCAAAAACATTTTTTGGGGAGTTAAGGCTGAGCCCCTACACACAATTTACTAAAAAATTAACCGATGGAGCTTTTCTCCTTATTCAAACTTACTTGGGAAATTCAATTATTTCTAGACCAGAATTGTATGTTGTATGGTATGTTTTGTTTTTAGCAAAATAATACCGTTCGTAATCATCTTTTGTTTCTTTCACGTCACCATTATAATATATCACTTTTACATTGTTGCCATCAGAAGAAATTTTTTTTAGATTACCGTTTGAATACAAAATTTCTTTACGCCCATCATCTAAAACAGTCTCACGGACAACACCACAACTACTGCGTTGAGTACCGTTGGATTCATTAAAACCATTTTCATTATCACTATCATGCAAGAGATTTTTAGAGAACTGATTTTCATCTGATGACAACTCCTCAGACGACTCATTATCGGTAGTTATTACAGGTTTCCTCAATATAGATGCAGGAATATTTCTAGTTTTTGGATCAATCATTGATGATATATCGTCAGGAGACAGTTTACTGAGTTCTCTGTTAACATTATGAATTATTTTTGTATTTCTCAAAGCTTGTTTTTCAGATGGTGTTTTAAAAGTTACCTGAAATGAAAAGTTCATAAAACTGTATTCTTATTTAATGTATACTATATGTTTACCAATTTAGGGAACACTCAATTACTTGTCTGGATTACGTTAGATTTAATTGAGACTTTATTGATGAGCTAGAGAATACCTAAGTTCACATTAAAAGAAAGACTTTACATTTTTAACCCTCTCAGCGCGCCCATCACAACTTTTATTTTGAAATGACAACATATAAGAATACCACATTTGGATAGACCTATTTTTCAAATTATTTATACTTCACAATAATTATGGATATACAATACAATATTATTAAATAAAAGCCATTTTAAATTTAATTCAGAATACATTCTTTTAAGTATTTTTTATTTGTGTAAAATTTACTTTATATTGAATAACAAATATTATCTTACTTGAAAAGTATAAAATAATTACAGTTACAACTACTATTAAATTATCATAATAATGTTAATTATTTAACCACAGAAGATTTTTTTATAAAAATATAAAACAATCTAAATGTTAAAATTCCATACTTAGTAATTAGGACCTACATAAATAATATAACAACCCATTTGGAAGTCACCCATTGGTAATACATTTGACTAGAAATGTTACAAACTTATTGATTTTCAACATTTTAATAAATTAAAAAAATATATATTTTTGATCAAATTTTAAATGTCTTAATCGAACAATTTTTATTTTGTAGGTATAGTGATTAGTCAGAATTAAATGCTATTTAAATGTGTATATTATTTACTATTTAGGAGATATCCACTAGCTTTTCAAAAAAGTCTTGATTCAATCCATTGTAATCCTGAAAAGTAACTAAAATAAAATTTAATTGGATGTTCCTTAAATTCACCGAACACCTTGTTTCAAATATTGTTTACTTTTTTATTCAATGAAGATTTTCTAAATAATTCAAGTTCACTGCGTAAGGCTGTATTACTATTTTCCAATTGTTTCATCTGAGTCCTCAATCGGGCCTGACCAGTTGCCCATCGAGCTTCTTTTTTATTAAACTCCTCTTTTAACTCGGTTAACTATGAAATGAATTAAGATATTAAGTCTAGATCATTAGTATAAATCAAAATGTAAGCAACATTAAACCAACCTGTTCTTTTAATTTTTTTATTTCTTCTCTCTCTTGTCTATTGGGTTTGTTTCTCAATTCTCTAGCATTTTTCTCAAACAAAACTTTTTCTCGAATGAATTTTTTTCTTTCTTCTGCCAACATTTCTTCTTCTTTTTTTTTTTCATCATTTAATTTCTTTAAAAAATCTTCTTTACTCTTAAAGAATTTTTGTCTTTCAACCTCGAATTCTCGTTGCAACTTCATTAACTTAGTATTTTCTGACCGAAATGTTTCTATCTCGGATTCCAACTCTTCAAGTCTTTTACTAAGTATTTCTGTATCAAATGATTGATCAAAGTCAACGTGTTTCATGATTCCCGATGTTTTAGAATAGTTTTCTAAATATTTCTTTTCATTTTCCGTTAAAATAACTGAATTAACTTCTTTTTCATAGTTACTTTTTTTGTCGTCATTTAAATTTGTAACCTTAAGTACATCTTCTGTTAAATCTAATGGATCACATTCCTGACTAGAGTCTGAATAGGAATCGTCAGAATCATCAACATTTTGTCTAGGAGTGGAAGAGTTTATTCTATCAAAATTTAAAGAACGAACTAGTCGTGATGCTGGTACTTCTTTATTACTTTTAGAACTTTGTCCTCTTTCTAAGAGTTGACAAACGGTAGGTGATGATGCGTTTAAATTAGAATTGTTGGCACGCTCTTCTAATATTTCAAATGCACGCAATTCTCTTTGTTCTGTATTATTTAACTTTTCTCCATTATCTGGAAAAT